TCCAAAAACCTTGATCACATCACACCGATTTTTGCCTCTTCAAATTGGCTCCTTGTTTGTTTTAGGATTGACTGTAAATCTTATCGATTACCTTTAAGGCTCTTCGTGGCCTGGCTCCAGATTACATTTCAGACCTTTTAGTCCCTTATGAATCTCTGTAGTTTGAGGCTTGTTCCAGAGTCCAGACTGAAGACTAAAGGGGGCAGAGCTTTTGCAACCAGGACCCCGAGGCTCGGGAACAACCTGCCCGAGGATAAAAGGCTGCCTGAGTCACTGTCTTTGTTTAGGTCTCTCCTAAAATCGTACTTCCGTCTGAGCTGTCTCTCTATTTTATTGCTATTTTATTGATTTTATTTTCCATTTATTATCTTGATTTTAGTTTTGGCATTTTATTTTATCTTTTACTTTGGTGACATTTTATGACATTTTAGTTCATTTCATTCTCCTTGTGTTGTCAATGTGTTTGATTTCATTGTACAGCACTTTGTGACTGTGTTTTGAAAGGTGCTATATAAATAAAGTTTTATTATCCATTATTATTTATTATTTAGCCCTAGTTTAGTTAGTTAGTGTGGCAGATAGCCATCCACCATGAAGTGTTGGTTCTGCCTGTTAAAAGGGAGTATTTACTTAATTATAGGTGCTTGCTCTTGGTTGGAATTCGTCATTTAATCTTTATAGAAGTACTAAGAAGTGCTTGTTCATGGGGAATTTGTTTGTACTGCTCAGTCTTGAGTATGATCTGACTGACAGTATGATCTAACTATATAAAAAGTGCCCTGAGATAACTTTTGTTATGGTTTGGAGCTATATAAATAAAAAAAAATGTAAATAATAAATTGACTAGAGATGCACCACACCAACACGGACATCAAATATCGGCCGATACTGACTCAAACAGGTTGGTATCTGTGACGATGGGGCCAATCAGTGCCTCAGTGAGGGGGAGTTTTGAGCATAAATCAATCCCCGGTCTTATTTAGAATTTCCTTTTGAAGCATTTAATAGAATTAAGCTTCATTTTTTTTAGAGAAAAAAGGTGAAAATGTCATAAGTCATGTGTATTAAGTTATTGTACATTTCCAGGACTGTCAGTCACACCAGCCAGTCGCCCTTTCAGATTCCTGAACACTGCAGCAACTTGGAATGTCAAAGCTGAAAGACTTGAGGCAGAAATTATTTTTTTTAATTTTTTCTCCTTCTTCTATTGGCTCACATTTTTCGTACACTGCTATGAGATTACGACCATCACTGAAATTTTCTTAAAACTTCTAAAATAAAATTTCTAAACACCACATTTAGACCTCGACCTATTCTCTGTTTTTAATGACCAAATTTTGGGCCCATAATGTGCAAAGTATCTCACTGCAAACTAAGATTTTGAGTAATAATAACTTGGATGATGGGTAGATGCATGCAGTTGATGTCCTCTCAAGCTGCAGTGTCTCTCAGCAACTTTTATCCAACAAGATGCATAAAATCGCACATTATTTCATACTGCACAAAACAATTTCCATGCGTTTGAAGCAACTATCTAAAGCTTTTAATTTCTAATCTCTGCATGGGCTTTGGCTTGGCATTCATCCAGTGGCATAGGAAGTTACAACGGGCCCCAGTGCACGCTATTACGATGGGCCCTAGTGCATACTATTGTTGTTGTTATGTTGTCTAATATATAAGACAATATATTAGACAACATGAACACACATAGTACCCAGAAATAATCATTGCATTTCTGACAAAAAAAATATATATTTTTTTTTAATTGAATCCTTTTTGTAGTCTATTTATAGATTTTATAACTGATGTAGATAAAGCATTTAATTTTGTTTTAGACAGCTACTGACTATTTAAAAAAAAAAGTAAACATGAGGTAGGTGGGTTTGCCATTTTGAGGACATATATAGAAAATGGCACAATTCGTAAAACAGGAACATTCTACTTTAATCATTCCTCTTTGAACACATATATTCAAGGGGGCAATCTGGATCACACGCAAGGGCCCGGTGAGTGCAACTACACTGCCTGCACTGGCTATATTTACACCCCTGCATCCATCCCAACCATCAAGCCTTACCTTTACAGAAATCTATATAAAACATGTACAGTAAGTTACTGTGTAATCTGCAGTGGTGTTTTAGGGGGATAAATAATGGAGCAACTACTTTGAAAAGATGCAAGAAAAAAAAACATAGTATATTCCACATATTTATCAAAATGCGCTATTTCACATTTCGCACACTATTTAACACAGGTGATAACTGGAGTGAACACATAAGTTAGGCCTACCTGTTCTTTAGCCTGCTGTTCGTTAGCCCCCTATTGTCCCCGTTTGTGCGCATGCGCTGTCATGTCCTTTAGCCCAATTTATGGCATTGTCCTGCGGTTTTGACTTCTGGTAATCATCTGAGAAAGATACTTGAGATCCTGAAAGTCTGTTCTTGACCAGCAGATACCGTCCCGTCCGAGAAACACACACCGGAAGCCAAAAATAGAAAAGTAAAGCTAACATTAGCAGTTAGCATTTTTCCTGGAGAGCCTCTCCATAAATCTGAATATTTTTAAGAAGTTTGGTTTATAACAATATCCCGCGGCTGGTGGACGGCGACGTGTTTAATCTCAAGTTTTTCATCGAACAGCAGAATTTCAAATGTTTAAATGTATGCTGTAGAAGATAATCCACATTTCCAGTTCAAGTTCGTTCTCCTTGAACAGTAACGCTAACGGCTGCCAACTACGAGCTGATGACGACACCAGTACTTGGCAAATACAAGTCTTTGAGCATGCGCACTGTAGTTTTCCCACACTAGGGGTATTTGAAGGGCCTAAGTGCAATTAAAACGCCATTTTAAAAGTTTTCTATCCAGCTGCTGACCTTCAATTGTGATTTAAATCCGTTACTTAATAAAAGTGTTAATACCACACTGTAAAACTAACTACTGTGTTACTAGGAAAAGTCCTTCATTGAAAATGTTACTTAATGTATTTAAGTTCAATCAGGAAAATGTATTTAAGTACTGCAAATAAAACTACTCAATACATAAATGTTTAAATCAATTTAATACATCAAAATAATTAGAATAATTAAAAGGTTAGTGGTTAGTGCTCATATTTGATGAAAAATTGCCTGAAAGATGATCATAGTTGCCAATTAATTTAATAATCAATGGGCTTATAGTTTCAGCTGCACTTGAGGATTTTTATATGGTTTGTGCACAAAACTAAATTAACTCAAGCTATTAAATAATGGCAGTGGGGTAAAAAATATAATATTTAGTGTAGTAAAGTAAATTAAAAGTACTTTGAATCTGTACTTAAAGGAAATGGCCACTTTAGAATGAAAATCCAGACAGTACTTAGTGACCCTCATGCCGACAAGAAGTCCAGTGTAGTTTTTTTTATTTCACAAAACTCGTTCAGGGTATCGGAGGATAAGAGCTAGTCGGAGTAACAGCTACATTTGAAGTGCATGGAACCCACATTTTGAAAATGTAATAAAACTCCACTAATGCATTTCAAAAACGTCAGAACGGCTCGTCCGTCGTAATCCAAGTGCCCTGAAGCCGCGGCTTGCACAACTGACTTGAAAAGTCGTGGCGTGCTGTGTTTACGTGGCAACTCACGGGAGACTCGAGAACTAGCACCACCACTAGCCATCAGCTAGTCTCGCACGAGTTGCCATATAAACACAGCACACCTGCGGGGCAGGCTAACTGACCGCGGTGAGAAATGATGCTATAAAAGTGGAGTAGATTACGTCTTCTCAAATCAATTTTGCATGCAGAGCCGTTCTGACGTACTGTCTGGATTTTCATTCTAAAGTGGCTATTTCCTTTAAGTACAGTAATTGAGTAAATGCACTTAGTTACATTCCACTACTGTTTTTTTGTGATATCCGTTAATCCAAAATTCTATTGTTTCTTTCCTTCTGCCAGTAGGTATAGCTTTGTTGCACTGGCCCCAGATGATCCATGGCGTCTGGTAACCTGTACTAGTGTTTTGCTCAGTATAATACAAGGAAGTTGATTGGCAAGTTACAGAAACACAATACCTGCCAAGGGTAAGTAACAGAGACAACTTTGCAGTATATTTGACAGCACAGACCAAACACATGATTGCAGACACTTCATATCAATTACACTCAAGAGTCTGAGCTGCTCCTGGCCGTCAGTTTATGGTCCCAAGGAGCAGCTGAATCCCGTAAAATAAGTCCTTTAGTTCCAGTGCCTTATAGGCATTGAAGTTATTTTATTAGATGTGCCGTCCTTTATAATTTAAGTAAATTATTGCTGCTACCTGCCTATTTGCACTATTGTATCATGTACATTTGTATCCCTTTGATTGTGTTATATGTTTTTGTATGTACCTATGCTGTGGTTGGGAGAAGCCAAAGACAAACTTCAACTGAGGTGGACAATAAAGTTTATTTAATCTTATCTAATCTTAATTTACTATTTCTATTTGCTCAAACCACTGGACTTAAGTGCAGTTGATGACAGATTAATCTTTTCTTGTAAGAATAATTCATTTTGAGGTTGAGTGGATCCTGTGTTTGAGATTATTCCAGCAAAATAAATTGAATTTTTCCCTTTATGTTGTTGCAAAAGACCGTCTTTCTTTCCATCATGGTCTCTGGATCAATAAGTTATAATAGAACATATCATGAAAAAGTTTCTTATTGTGATTCTTGTAGCTCTATTTTTCCACTGTCAGTATAAAAAATACTTTGTTATGTCTTCTGTTTTTAAACCCAAAATACATTTTTAGAAACTGTTTCTGTGCTTTTATTCTGAAGGTGAGCGGATGACAGAAAAAGCCCTGTGCTTGTCCCATCAGCAGGTTTAGAACCAAAGTTTTATGAAATAAAAAAATACAGATGGAAAACTGAGATAGGTGTTTAGCAAACATGAATCTCTTCACACTAGAGAAGCTGTTCACAGGGTCAGTGTGCAGCATGTTGATCATAAAACTCAACCGAATCACACTGTTAGGGTCAATAGTCACAGTTTCCAAACCAAAGAGAAAGAGCTTTAATGGAATGCTGGGAAGACATTTCTTTGCTGTGAAGTATAACAAATATAAACATCTGACGAGAACATGAACAGAAAACAAAAGTAAGAGTGAAGGGATTGTCTCATGTCGAAGCTCAGAGCTGCCTGTGGCTACACAAATGAACATCCTTCCTCTTTTGGAAAGAGCTGAGCAGTCAGTGAGAAGGAGTGGAGTCCTGTCAAACAGGACCCGAAAGGGCGACATTCACCCCACATGTCCCAGAGCTTTGCTCCGTTTTCCTGTTCATGATGTCCTGTATGGTAGAGATGGGCAATGGTTCGCTCCTGTCCCTCCGTGGGGCTTGAAGAAAGTCCACCACCGCGCAGCTGGACTTTGGACGCCTGCGTCTTAATGCCCGTTTCTCCGCCCGGGTCTTGGGTGGAGGGAGCCCGTCACAGATCCGGCTGCAAGCTGTGGTGATGCCACAGAAGGAGGGGTCGTCTGAATGTGACGAGCCCTCCGAGCTGACCTCTGATGGTGAGTCTCTAAACAGAGGTGGAAGTAACCTTTTTGTGAGGGGGGTGGGGTTTGTGGTGATGGGTGCACCGTTACACACAACAGCTCCGTTACACAGTTCAGGAGCTGCGTGAAAAGAAGGTTTCAGAGTCTCCACTTTCTCCATGGGTTTCATCTTACGGCGTCTCCTCTGTGTGGGGAAAGAATAGGGAGAAAGAACTGTTAACAACTGTAATGCAACTAATTCATCTAGACATGAACTGATTCACTATTTTCCCAGATCCTATCCATTACAGATACCAGAGCTCTTTTTGCTTACGATTTACATTTCAAATTTTCCATTAAATTTAAATTCCAAAGCAATTTATTTGAACTGAACAAACAGGTGTAGGAGCGCTAATTGCTGTGGCAAAATTTCTATACATGAGTTCAAAAGTAATAAGAGAATTTCAAAGAGTGCAAATGAACAACTCCATAAGATTTTGTGAGTATTTTAAATAAAAGTGCAGGAACTGTGTAGAGAAATAAATATCTACACTATCAAATAAGTTAAAAACAAGTGTTGAGCAGTTGCTATGGTTACCATGCAGAGCATTTGAATGAATCTTTATTGAGAGCACCATGAATGAGTCTCACTTGCTACTGGCAGACTGATTCTTTTCACAGAATCAATTCCTTCGAGTTGATCCACGTAAATGTGTCGAACCTTTCCAGTTTTGATACTTTTCGCAAAAATGCAGTGTCAGTTTCTCCGACCCTGTTTCCACCAAGCAGTACGGTACAGTTCAGTTTGGTATGCATTTTTTCCGTTTCCACTGTGAAAAGTTGTGGATGGTACCACTGGAATCGTTCTTTAATGTCCCCATTTTTGGTCCCCCCTCTGTTGGAGTACCTAGCACACAGATCTGGTACTAAAAGGTGGAGCTGTGAACACTGCAGTCTGATGATTGGTCAATAGAGGACGGTCACTCTGCTCAGGGCTGAGCTGTGGCTGGTTTTGAGGTTCATGTAACCACTGTTCATACCTTGGAGAGTCCGACTCCAGCAGCCTCTCGCAGCCGCTGGAGTCGGAGTAATAAATAACTTAAGTCACCAGGCTGACTGTCGGCGACTTTCGAGGTGGAATGTTAACTTGTAATGTTACTCAATGCATGAGTTGACAACGTGAATCCATCAACACAGATCTTCTTTGTAGCGTCCATGCTGTGTCCACATTACCACTCACAGCTCATGAACATACTGCAGTCGAAAGAGCGACCATCCAAGGAGCACGTCAATGTGCCAGCGGACTCTCATCCGCCCAACGAGTTGTGGGGTTGGAACAGCAACTCGACCGTGTTAAAGATGCTAGTGTAGCTAACTACAGTAGTGTCTTTGCAGCAGTCCCAGTACAGCCAGAGTCACATTCTTGGCCCACGTTTAAACAGCCATTGTAAAGGAAACGGCAAGCCAGTGCTCTGTGACTGAATGCCAGGCACACTATGCATGGAAACCAACATCAGACTACTGAATCTGGATCGCTACATCAATCTGTGACATCAGTCCCATATAATATGAATGAATTACGAACTGGATCAGTCCCAACTCAAAATTCATTTTTACACACCTTTCTGTTAGCTGGACAAAGACTCTGCGTCTCCTCTGCGTGCAGCATTTCAGGGCCTGTGAGCCAAAGACTGAGGTTAATTTCTACCAAGATGAAAAATGATTCAGTTCTGGATTGATTAGCCGCTATCCGAGATGTATGAGAGAACCCTTGAAACAGATTACAGTGATGGCACTTATGTAGTGGAACCGTACCTTCAGTGGTGGCGAGTGTGTGTATGAGTGGATAGGAAGCGCTCCTCTTCAAGCCCGTCTCATCACAGGAAGAGAACTGCCTATTAAGGTAACAGTAATGGTTGAGGACAAAGACAGCGTTAAGCACATTTATTAAGATATGAGTCATGGCTGTGTCATTATTTAAGATTCAAGCCGCGCTGCTCCTGATGATTAATTGTATCAATAAACTGGCTTAATGAGTAGAAGCCGTTCAAGGCACAGTAACCTCTGCCCATTAGCTGTTAGAGCCCTTTTATAGATGCCACTCAGCGCTTCTTCGCACTTACCCTCTCCACTAGTGCTTTTTCTTTGCCACCATGTACTTAAGGATACATTTCATTTTTACTCTGCTGAATCTTGTTATAAAGACAGTATTCATACATGGTAGTATTTGGCATTATATACATTTAAAGTCGTGAGTAAAACTATATGATTGTCTTTCTACCTTTCAGGACAGCAGTAGGTGTAGCTCTTAGGTATGGGTGGCTCTGGTTCTGCGGTTGGAGAAATTGTGTTGATGCGGCAGTGGTTGACGCACAGCAGCAGTCCGAGACACAGACACACCACCAGAGACAGCAGAAGGTAGTTCTGCCTGTCTGCAACCTAAAAGAAAGAGCACTGATTATATCCTTGGCGAAACAGCCGCAATGTTGGATGTGACAAATGAGAGACAGAAAAATACATTGAGGAAAATCTGTGACTGAAATAATGCCACATGTACACATTCAGATCTATATTTTTCTTATCTATATTTATCTTATCTAATTTGTATTATTGTCACACTTTTATCCTTAATTATCACTCAGTCTCTTTATTCTCTTGCTTCTGACTCTTGCAGCTGCTGTAATGTGTGAATTTCCCCAGTGTGGGATTAATTCTTATTTTATGAGACATGTATTTCATAGGACTGTAACAGTTCTTGTATTCATTCATTCATTCATCAATCTGTGACTCCTAAAGCAGGGTATAACCAAACTGTGACTTTCATGTACCATTAAACCCCTGGTATTTCGGAAGCTGAATCAGTACCAACAGATTAAGTGGCCTTAAAGATGTTTCTCAAATTATGCGTCAGCCCCCATGTGTCACTGTAATGACTTGTTCCCAGGAAAACACTAAATATACTCAGTTTGATATCATGCTAAAAAACTGATTACAGATGAAGGCTCTGTGCCTGCAGCATTGTATCTACCTCATTCTGCAGCTGGCTGACTCTGACAGACAGGTTGAGAACCAGCTGAGTCACATTCTCCAGCTGGCCCTGCAGCATATGAATGGACTCAGTCTGACGCTGGTCCTATGGGACGAAAAGGACAACAAATTAAGCAACCACACACAGAGTCACATCACTGAAATGGTATGTTATGGTTTTAAATATTTGAAGGTATTGTTTTTTCTGTAAGTTTGTCACTGCGAGCGAACATTTTTATATTACATGCAGTCATTTGACTGATTGCTAATATAAAAATATTGATTAGTGCAGCTTCAAACTTAAAGCAGAGAGCTTTTGGAAAAATACATTTGAAACTTAGAAGCAGCTAAAATCTGTGACAATGTTGTATTCAGCCTAGGAAGATTTTCAATTACATTCTGAATCAATATAACAAAGTAGTTTGGGGGCAACCTCTCAAAATTAGACAAAAGTATCTTAACATTAGGGATGCACCGACTGTGAAACTCTGGGACAATACTGTCATTAAAAACAACAATTTGGTGTTGTTGTTGCCTTGTTTTTTTCTAATGATGCTTCCTGTTTGCACTCTGTCCCTCTGCTGCTGTCCTGTTGCAAATTTCCCAGCTGTGGAACGAAGACAGGATTATCTAATCTTATCTTATAATTACTTCTCTAATATCTATTTCATATTTCTTCGAAAACAACAAATTTCTCCTTCAAACAACTGTATTTATTTAAGTTTTTTACCAAAAACTACATTTTACTTGATTATATTTGAACACATCTTTATTACATGCTCATTTTTACTGAAGAGAGCTTGAACGCATCATAAAGCAACTCAATGCAACGTCTATCGGCTGTTAGTTCGTGCTAACAGCTAATGTGAACTAGCTCTCCTCCTGTCGATGTCAACAAGGATTTGTCGTTCACAGTGTAGCATTAACAGTGAGTTTACCGCGTCTTTTCGCCCCGAAGGCGTCCCGAGAAGGATCTCAAGGATCTCCAGGATGATAGGACACTGTTAGTCAAGCCCCGCTTTCTAGCCTGCTCAAAATTGATGTAACCCAACAGAAAAGTATTGGCCACTGCCATCTGTGAGTGTCATCCCATTTGCAAATAAGCCGATGGCAGTCAACAAGGCGAACATTGACTGATACTGATGTTCTGCAGATAAATCGGTGCATCCCTACTCTACATTGCAACTGTCTGGACTAACATATGTGCTCTATCATTGCTCACCTGCTCCTCTGCTATTCTAGACGTGTTCTGGAGTTTAATGATGGTTTTGTTGAAAGCCTTCTGCATCTCCTCCATCTGCTTTCGATACCTTGAATAAAATCATGCAGGAAGAAATCTTAATTTCAGTTTTTACTCAGTTTATACATGAACAACAACAACCATCTCCCCATCTCTCACCTCTGGCTTAGCTGCTCCAGGTAGCGTCCACTCAGTGACATGTTCATCTCCAGGGCCTTGATGCGGTTGTTGAGTCTCATGAACACGGACTCCTTCTGGCTGGAGCCGTGCACTGGGTTCCCGTTCTGCTCCGTGCCGTTGGGGGGCTCTGCATAGATGTCTGAGAGGGACGGTGTGGTAGGCGAGGAAGGTTTGCCAGTTGATGACGTAGTGATGTCTTCGGCAAAATCCTCGATCTTATTTTCTGTGATGACCAGGGGACCACCAGAGGGCTCAAGTTCTGTAATGGTGTCTGGAGCAGGGTGGGTAGGCTCAGTGGGAACAGTACTACTGTCAGGGACAACTGGAGGGTCAGGGTGATGCTCTAACTGAGGGGGGGTGGTGGGATGGAGAACTTGGGATTCATCCGTCTTTTCTGGGGTTTGGATGGGGGCGTTTATCTCTGGTTTAGAAACCTCAATGTCAGACTTCTCTGTTGGTGCCACTGAGGTGACGTCCACTGTGGCACTGACACCGGGTTTTACAGAGACGGAGCTACTAAGAGAAACTGAAGGCTCAATGTGCTTCTCTTCAGCCAGCACATCCTGGCTCTTTTCTGGCTTCAGCTCCCTCGCTGGTTCCTCAGAAGACAGCTGTGGTGTCTCCACAATAGGGGTAGCTTTGGCAGAGGATAAGTCAGTGGCACTGGGTGTGGGGAGGTTCGAGGTTTGACTCGGCTCCAGCAGAGGAGGTTCGGACATAGACTCTTTATGAGATTCGACTGTTTTCCCCGGAGGCGTTTCCGCCGGGCTGGCTCCGCTCTCTGGCTCCTGTTCAGAGGCTTGTTCTTGTTCATGGGGCTGGTGTACCTCACTATGGTGCTGCTCGGGTTCAGGGCAAGCAGATGGGGATGGGGGTAGGTGCCAAGTGGGTGTTTGGATGGGAGGAATCGTTTGCTTTCTGTTCACAATTTGGCATCTCCGTTTTTTGGAGAGCAGAGCTGAACACTGCCTATGCAGATACTCCTGGAGGGATGCTGCACAAGAGCACGAGGAAGAAAGAGAAGGAAGTAGTGAACAGTAGTTCTGGATTTTTTGTTGTCGCTTATGTTGATCCGTTTTCTCCTTTTCTTCATCCAACTCCTCCTCCTTATCCAAAAGGGTGATTGTAGAGCTGATGGGCTCTTCTTCATCTTTCTCTAAAGGAATGATTATTTTTTCCTCCACTGGGGGGAGCTCTTGTTTGCTTGTATCTTCAGTAGGCGTCTCTGGCTCAGAGGTCTCTGAGGATGGGGCTACAGTTTCAGGGATATCAGGGTCTGGTAAAACCTCTTCCACTTGTGTGTCTGGACTGGAGAGAAAAGAGCACATAGAGCAACCTCTTCCATTATTTCACAAAGCACTGGTTAATGGAAAAGCAGATTTCAAGATATGAGAAGCCAATAAAAGATACTGGATTTGACAAAGCATAACTACTCACATTAGTGTGTAAGGTTTTCATTTCATACCACTATCAGCTTGCACAAACATTCCAACCCACACACAAATAGACTTGTAAATGTGTATGAGATTTTAAGTCTCAAAGCATTCATGACAGTAGGTCACATGTATCATTTTCCCTCCCTTCTAACATTATGAATAACATTTCAATCTGTCAATATCATGAAATTAAAGCTGGGGTAGCCAAGTTTTTTTTTTACTGGCATCATTTCATATTGTCCTTTGAGCATATTGTAATTAAAGTGGTCTGAGAAAAAACTCGACTTCTGCACCTCCTCTTGGCTCTGTTTTCAGGCTTTAGAAAATCTCGCCTGTGATGGGAGATGTTGGCCAAAAAGTTGCTATTCCAGCAGTGGCAACAACTTTCTACACTGCAATGCAAACCCAACAATGGAATATGGACTTATCCAGAAGATGGTCTAGCAATAAACTAAATAAACTAATATTGGCGAAGTGTTTCAGAGATGGAGCGAAAATTTTGCTAACAGTTTAGCCTTACACTAACCAGAGCCAAAGGCACATGGCTAATGCACAGCTGCAGCTAATTCAAGTTCATGTTTATGTAGCTAGGAAGGGGCCTTGAATCACAGTCTAGCATCTGAAAAGGCTTTTCAGACACAGGCCTTCAGTTAGAGCAGCTGCAGCAACTTGAATTCAGCTAGTGCAAACCCCAAACTTTCTGTTGCTGCCATTACACAGGTTAGACCTGTCACTGCCACTACCCACCAGCCCGCTGTGACCCCAAGCGCTGGGGATTTTGGGCTGGTTGAATTCAAGTTGCTACAGCTGCTGACTGAAGGTTCGTCTCCAGAGCTGTGGCCCGCTCTCCTACCGACGACATGGTATCCTAGTAGCAGGGAGAAAGGCTGATGGATCGTGGGGTGCACTAGCTAGCTAATTCTCACAAATTCTTATTTGTGGTCTGATAAACAGCGAAACAGCAGCGCAAGGAGGGGCTGAGTGAATTGATGCACCGCACGCAGCTCTACAATGAAATAAGATTTTACCCATTTTAAATAGCAAGAAACAAAAAACAACAAAGAAAATCAATATATGGAATGAGAAACACTGGGTTACTGTATGAAGCATGTACATATGTTTGTGCTTGTCTGGTGGGAGGGGCTTCTGACAGAGAGGGTAGAGCTGCAGGAGGAGGGTGAATTTTTTCAGAAACCTACCTACCCCATCTTTAACATTAAGTCAGTTTTACTGTAGAGTTAAGGTTTGTTGAAGGTTAACTTAAATGTTATCAAAGATGTAATCAGGCTCATGACATGTACTCACACTAAGGTGAGGTCTGTGGTGGTAGTTTGAGGGGTAGTTTCAAGTTGGGATGATGGCTCAGTCATGTTCACTTCCTGTGATGAAAGGTTGCCTAAAAAACACAAATATGTTACCAACATATTGTCAGCAGTTGAAAAGTCAGGAAAGTAAAATAGTGACTGCATCTCTTTTAAAACACAGAGGTTATAAGACAAACTACTGGGCAGAGATGTAAAGCTGACTGAGGTACAACTTAATTATTACTTGTTATTATGAGGCAGATTGTGTTACCTTGCATTTCTGGGCTTCCACCGAGAACATTGACGGCAATGTTATTTACCATGTTCAAGATGACATCTGAAGAGAAAATGTATACACCAGAATTAGAAGTCAGGACAGAGATCATTGCAGACATCTGCATGCAGCAGAAATCCATCTGTTTGCTATACTTACCCTTTGCTGATCCAATCAGGTTCTTGGATAACTTGACTTCACCAGGTGCGTATCCAGGAGGATAATCTGCAGGGAGCAGTGCATTAAACAACACACATCAGTCTCATGGCAAAACTTTAAAAGGATGATAATAATAATAATTCCAACTGAATTAAATATGATGTTTTCGGATCTTACCCAAATCATCATCCTGATCATCTGGTCTTTCTGCGGGATCAGCGATCTCCTCGTACTCTTCCACCATGCTTGTGCCAAACACCCTGGCAACATCAAAATCATTTGATAACCAAGCTCATGTAACAGTGAAACATAATCTGCCTTATCAGCCACTTAAAAATAGTCCATTCCCAAGTCTTTAACAGCCTGCAGGGGGCAGAGAGCTACACTGATAGCCTACAATACACACACACACACACACACACACACACACACACACACACACAGGTCATATACAGTATGAGAGTCCTTCAACAGCTGCTCCTTTTCTCAACATGAGACCATTTCAGTATCTGCCAACTTTTCTGTGTGCAAGTTTCAGACAGATTTATCTCTACATTTTGCAGAGACCAGCTGCTAACAGTTGCATCAGCTCTCCTTGTTCCCACCAAGAGGTTTGACAGCGTGGTCAGGGGTTAGGGTGAATTGACCACATGCCAACTATTACACAGACATGTTGGATAACGCTCTTTTAAGTCAACTAGTTTTGATTGAAATATAAAATAAAAACATCTACATCCTGCTTTTACTGTCATGGGCCCTATCTTACACGCAATGCGGAGCTGCTGTCCAATTGGCCATTAAGAGAGATGCTGCGCACATTTACACACGAGGAGCAGCGTCCCTTCAGATTGTTTCAGAAGCTAAACATTCAGCTCTGTTTCCTCTGTCAAGTTTATAACTACAGTTTGTAGTTTTGCTGCTTAAATGTTCCACAATATTTGCTGCATTACTCTCAGCAGAAAACCGCTTGCTTCTTTTTTGCCGAATCTGCCATGTAAATACCAGAGATGACAGTCTGACTGGTTGAATTCATGTTACACCCAAAACACACCTACGTGTGTGACTGAAAAAAGTTTTGAGCCTAACCCAGAAAATGGGTAGCTAGGCAAGCCAAATGATATTTTTTATAATCTATTACCTTTCTATATTATCAATAACCATGTTCATGTTTCGGACTCTTTTTGTTTTATTTTTGCAGATTCTTGAAGTGAATAGTGGTCAGTGATTTGTTGAAAATAGAGAAACTGGAATATCATGCTGTGATCAAATATCTTCATCTCAAAGGAATGTCACTGTCTGAAATCCACCAAGATATGCTCAATACTTTACATCACAGTGGCCCTTCATATGCCACAGTCAAATGCTGGGTACAACAACATCAAGTATGTATCCGTATCTTGTTTTGTTTCCTTGAGGTCATTCCTTGCACGATTAACTAAAGGACTAAATACAACTCTTTTGCCCCTTGCGTCTTACTTTGCACCCAGTTAATGCGCCATTTGTTTAGCAAAAGTGGAGCTGGACACACCTTAAATGCACTTGGACCATGAACTTTAGACCAGTGGTTCTCAACTGTATCGGGGTCCAAAAATGGGTCCCAGGTCCTTCTAAATGGACCACAAGTGACTTGCAAACGTGTGAAGTTTGTTAAAAAAAAAAAAAAAAACACTTAATTTTAAATACAGTGAATTTCCAGCACAGAGCCTTTATTTTGAAGTGCAGTTTCCTGCTGGAGAGTGAGTGACTAACCGATAGCGACTTGACACAGACAGCAAACTAGCTCGACGACACGGCCAAACAAAAGTATGACACTGACTGTATTAAACTGTGTGGACCTTGAAGTAATGACTAAGGAGAAATCTGGACCACATGGCTGGACCAGTTGGGAACCACTGCTTTAGTCCATGCGCTATAGATGGTTAAAATAGCGCCCCATTTTTGTTCTCCTAGGAAGGTTTCTTACTTCCTTTTTAAAGCAGCTTACAATATTAAAATCTTGTTAAAAGTATGTTAGAAAAACTTGACATTGCCTGAATACCACATACCTTATGAGACTGAGAGGGCAGAAATGTTCAGAGCCAAAGTGAGAGACCAGCTCTACCTAAAAAATAGAAAAAAATGTACCATTATTCAGATTTTATATGGACACAGGTGTTGAATTGTACCCCACGCACATAAAGCCTCTCAGCAGTGGTTGTATTTGTTTTAAAACAGCAAAGCAGTGATTTTGTTTTGTTGTGAAATCAATACAATGGGCTGATTGGTGATGAGAACATGAGGAACATCTCAGTGTACAGTAATTGGATCATTTGACACACTATGCTTTATTATTTGAGTGACAACTGGTGGGTATCATTTCATCTCTTATCAAATGTTCGTTATGTGTGATATGATTGTATTCACAGAGTATTAAGAGTTAGAGTTAGAGTGAGTTAACAGCTAGCACAGCAAGTTAGATCTGAATGAGTTGATCACACCACTTAGGCAAAAGACAAAAACAACATCCCCCTCCACAGTTACTATTCAGCTCGTTCAACCACAGACCTCTACAAGAAAAGCAGGCTAACCTTTATGTACTTGGTGAACATCTGAAGCAAGAGAGACAGAAAAAAGAGAAAAAATTAAAGAGATGTATACATGCATTCAAAACAGGACCAGAGAGTGGATGCTGGCTTTTATTCGAGTCACTCTAGAGGGGAAAATGACCAAATGTTCAAATCTAGAATGAAGCTCTTATACACAATAATGTATCATATGATCAATGCTGAAACTGTTACTGCTCTACAGACCATACACAATGTAACTATAATAAAAAGGAGGAATAACAGTGAAGGGGCCAAACTTCCAGTCAGAGAGTACGTGAACGTGTACAGAAACAGCTGAATAGTTAAATGCTCACCTGCATTAAGAGACTACTCTAGCATGTAATAGAGACAGAGACAATGTATTCTAACTAGATAAACTCACCTTCACATATTTAGCATAGAGGTGCTCGTCCAATGGGAAGCTCTGGACTGTGCGTTCATCCCGGGCATGAAAGGTTCCCAGCTTCAGCCACTTGTTTGTTGGATATCTACAGGAGCAGATTTACACAACGTGATCAGTTCAGTGAGTTTGTGGAAGTGTCTATAATGTGAATATCTGGATATGAAATGTTTGTCTGCAGTTTTCTGTAGTGGTCCAGGTAATATAGATGTCTGCCTTCTCTCTGCGATATAATGGAACTAGATGGCACTCAGCTTGTGGTGCTCCAAGCGCCAAAGAAATACATTTGAAAACTCAACAGCAATGTCTCTTTCCAGAAACCATGACCTGGTTACTCAAGATAATCCACAGACCTTGTTGTGAGCAGTTTCACGCAGGAACTATTTTCTTTCTACCTAACTACACCTGCCAACTGTATCACCGCGCAGAAGGAAGAGTGCATCTACTGCTAGCTCACCTAGCGCCACTGAGCTAGTTTGGTAGAAGAATAATGGTTCCTACATGAAACTGCTTAAAGCAAGAAAAGTGTTTTTGCAGAGCATTATGATGTCACAGTGAGGCTGACCTTTGACCTTTTGGATATATAATCTCATCACTTGATAATTTTTATCCTACAAGACATTTATGTGAAGTTTCGTCATACATACAGTCTGAAATCTTGACTTATGGCCAAAAACGTGTTTTGTGGGGTCACAGTGACCTTTGACCACCAAAGTCTAATCACGGTGCGTTACGAATTGCATACCTTATCTTTTAGTAGGTATTACAACTGTCCTAAAAAAGTACATAGTGCATGCAGTATGCACACAATCGAGACATGCTACTGTCTCATAACATTACAACCTCAACTTTGACTCTAAACTCGCCAGAGACGGAGCTCAACCCGGAGAGCTCTGATGTCGCTATTTTGCAATATATTATATCGCTAATATTATGTCGCATATATATTATATTTACGATGGTAAGATTACATGGGCTATACATTTCTCTGTTATTATTATATAATACTTAAGCCCTTTTGTTGTTGGTTATATTTATGATTATCTTATCCAATTAAGCAATTAATGCTCCTATTGTTACTGTTCAACTGGTCATCAGTCACTTAAATGCGCCGTCATCCATCATTGGCGCTACTAACATCTGTCAATCAGCTTTTAATGAACTGTCACCCTGTAATATTTTTTTGCAGCTCAGTCATTGTGACGTATTGTTTGCTGCGCAGTGGATTGTGGGTCAGAATAGCCAGAAAAGCGCCCGACTGGATGTAGCAGAACATCCTGGTATTTTTGGCACACTGCATTTAACATACTACGTATTGGGGCATACTAAATATTCTTCTGGTATACTATATAGTATAGGTATGGGTATTGGAACGCACAATAAGTTTATTGCTGAGTCCAAGTGGACGTTTGTGCCAAATATGAGTAAATTCCCTCAAGGTGTTCTTACGATACCATGTTCATGAGAATGAGACAAATGAACCTAAAAACATAATGCCTCTGGCCAGTGTCAGAAATTAGCAAGGGCCACGGGCCATTTGGCCCGCAATTTATCCAAGAATGCCCCCAAAAGCCATGTTCCGGGGGCCAAAATTGCCCCCAAGTTTTCGAAACAACTATATGTATTTATATTTTTAACAGTATTACAATCTGACATTAGTAGTATAATTAGTATAAGAAGTATAATTTTATTTTTATTAAATTAATTTACCGTCACGTCTACAACTCATTTTCCAGACATAATCAACGAGATTGCACTGATTACATGAGAGTAATCTGACAGAGAAGGGGAGGGGGCTTTGCTGTACCATAAGTATAAATTAACCATTTCTTGGGTGATCTGTGTCTATACAATGACAAATCAATGAAAAATTAAGGTAGAATGAATGTTAAATTTTAAATTAACTTATTTCCAGGATTGCATCTAAGGAATTTATAGTAATTTGGCCTTTTTAACAGTAAAAGTAACTGTAATGTGGTGAAACATTAGTACTGCTATCAGTAGATTAATGGTTAAATCATCACATTTAAACTGGTTGAATTATAGGAAATCTGAGTGATATTTTGCAACCATAACTTTATGTAACCCATTATTTATTTCATTTATAGTGGTTGCTACTCAAGCGTGAAGACACTATCTTAGTTGGTTTTGCTTTTCATGTACTTATTGTTAGAACATAATTACAATTTTTGATGGCCCCCAAACATTTTGAAAATGCCCCCATTTTTTAGACTGTGGGGGCCAAAATTGCCCCCAAAATATTTTGTTAATTTCATACCCTGCCTCTGGCCACGGCTGGTGTAAAAAGGCGCACACTTGCATTGTAGTCGCAGTACAAGACAGCATTTTGGCACATATGTGAATGCACGTAGAGGAGTGTTCAGAAATGCTGACTGCTTACAAAAAACTTTATTAAAAATATCAAACGGCAGGGAAAATTGGACTTATATTGATTTTAATAGCTTTCCATGTACCGTATGATTGATCACAGAATGTTTTGATTTCTTCCTGTGGTGGCAAAGATGTTAGAATTGAAAACAGTGTGATGTCTATTCATTTTGAAAGTGAAACAGCAAATGAGGAAATATCAACACCACCGTCCAATGGTGTGACTTCACATAATGACTGGCTTTCCTCTTTATAGGGCTGGCCCTCGCTTTACTGCGGTTCAGCCGAAAGTAAATTAAAACAATCTCAACATTGGTAATATACTGGTTGATACTGTATGTATAGTAACTGCTGTACATACCTGTCACTGATGGAGACGAGAAAGTCCTTGGGCGTAGAAGAGAATAACTCAAAGTTAGCGATGTCCAGCTGCTTCACCTGGATGGGCTCACAGAGCTCAATGATGAACCTGAGCGAGAATGAGAGACAAGGCTTCAGAAACTAGCTTTAGGTGGAGCTGAGAAGAAATGCTCTTAGTTCTTTCATACTACATACCAGATTTTATTACTACAGGGGTTTAACATGTACAAGTCCATGTTCTCCCTCAGTATGGCTGAAGTGCTCTGTAAAAAACAAAATCACTATGCGTTTATATTTGTCATTATGTCAACATCTACCACAGTAGGCAGATTCCTCATTCGGATGTGGTATCATGTATATATATA